TCAGCCTTCCAAGTAGCCGGAATTACAGGCATGCGCTGCCACGCCCGGCTGATTTTTGGATTTATTGTAGAGATGAGGTCTGGCCGCCCAGGCGGGTCTTGAATCCGCGGGCTCAGGCAATCCACTCACCTCAGCCTCCCAAAGGCGCGGGATTACAGGCTGAGCCACCGAGCCCGGTTCTCAAGTATCTTTTTGTGTATGTGTGTGAGTTGGAGTCTCGCTCTGTTACCCAGACTGCAGTGCAGTGGCCGCTCCCGGCCACCACAGCCTCGACCTGCTGGGCTCCGGCTATCCTTCCACCTCAGCCTTCCAAGTAACTGGAACTACAGGCATGCGCTACCACACCCGGCTAATGTTTTGATTTATTGTAGAGATGAGGTCTTGCCAAGTTGCCCAGGCAGGTCACGAACCCGCAGGCTCAGGCAATTCACTCACCTCGGCCTCCCAAGATGCGGGATTACAGGCTGAGCCACCGAGCCCGGCCCAAGGATCTTCTAAGCAAGCACAGCAGAAACTGTGACTGTTTACAGTAAGCTCTTCATTTTACTTACTTGTAGGAAAAGGAAATTCTTTGTTACAATCCAAATGTAGCTGAGCTTCCAAAGAAAGTGTCTCAAATCTATTTACAAAGAACTCCCAACTCAAAGCAGGAATATCCTGCTTAAGAAAATGCAAGAGTAAGAGCTTGCTCAAAATTGTGGGTCGGTCTTTAACCACAGTATCAAACTGGAAGTCAAGACAAAGACACAGACCCTGAGAAAGAGAGAAAAAAACAAATGAAAGTCAGATACAAACATCTAAGTTACTTCAAAGTCAATATATTAGGCAAAGTCAATGAAACAAGCAAACTCTTCCATCCACACTTACGATGTAGAATGACCCAACTGACATGTTTTTTGATTGGACTTTTTGGTAGGAAAGAAAAATGCAGAAGAGGAACTTCTCTTAACTGTAGAATACCTCTAGAATTTTGATTCCAAAATCTGAACCAAATGTGTATTATTAATTTTCTTTTTTTTTTTCTTCTTTTTTTCCCCGAGTTGGAGTCTTACTGTCGCCCAGACTGGAGTGCAGTGGCCGCTCTCGGCCACCGCAGCCTCGACCTGCTGGGCTCCAGCGAGCCTTTAGCCTCAGCCTTCCAAGTAGCTGGAACTACAGGCGCACGCTACCACGCCCAGCTAATTTTTTTATTTATTGTAGAGATGAGGTCTCGCCAAGTTGCCCAGGCGGGTCTCGAACCCGCGGGCTCAGGCAATCCACTCACCTCAGCCTCCCAAAGTGCTGGGATTACAGACTGAGCCACCGAGCCCAGCTGCTATTAATTTTCTAATGCATTAAGTAATAACTACTTAATCCTAATACCTTAAAATCAATGTGTCTTGTCTTAATGTCTGCAGTTTTCATTAAGAGCAGCATACTTTCAAAACTACATTTTAGAGTACATTTTGGGAGGCCAAGGAAGAAAAATCATTTGAAGCCAGGAGTTCGAGACCAGCCTGGTCAAAATAGCGAGACCTCATTTCTACAAAAAATAAAAATATTGGCCTCGCATGATGACACATTCCTACTCAGCTACTCAGGAGGCTGAGGAGGGAGGATCACCTGAGCCCAGGAATTCAAGGCTGCCGTGAGCAATGATCATGTCATCTCACTCCAGTTTGGGCAACAGAGTGAGACCTTATCTCTCATAATAATAATAGAAATAATAATAATAATAATAATAATAACAAATTTAAAAATAGAAACACAAGAAGTCAGTCTGGGAATTCCCTTTCAGTTCTAAATTTCATGGTTCTAAAAAGTGAGTGGAACAGGGAATGTTAAAAAAAAATCAAAGGTAGAATGGGCTGGGCATCAAGTTCTCTAGTCTGTGAGTTTACCATTCCTCAACTTTTTAATGGAATGAAATTTAAAAATGGAACTTCCCAGAATCCAGACCGTGAGACTGTTTACAAGCTGCCCATCTTATGGTATTCTGGAATAGCAGACTAAGACATGTGACAGACAACTCAATGATTTAGTCGTGCTGACACAGACCATCTGCAGAGCAGATAACACACACCACGCATCACCTGCAATGCTGGCCTCTTTATGGTGTCGAGCAGGAGACCAGCCCTGGTTGCCACTGCTGGGTTGACATCCTCCACAGCTGTCAGGAAGCAGCAGAAGGCATGTGCCAGGGAGTACTTCAGCAGGTGGTTTTTGGTCACCGAGTGAATATCCAGAAATCGACAAATTACAGCCACTTTTTCCACTGCAATGTAGAAGGCAGAGGCCAGAATATAAACATGTGTGTGTGCACTCATACACATTGATTTAGGCGGTCTGAAAACTAAGAACATGAAGAAGAAGTTAACTCTGGGTCCCCCACATGGCTTAGTTTAAATACTAGCAGGAAATTCTAGTGCCACCTTCTTGAGTGTTCCACTGCACCTGTGCAGCAGAGCCTGTTTCTGTTCAGACAGTCCTTTTCTGTCAGGAAGTCTTGATTTAGCTCCGGGTTGTCTTTTGCATCTTCTTGCTGGCCTTTCCCTTTGTCTAACGTTCAGCTACTTTCTCAGCTAGTCAGATGCCTCTGTGGCTGCTCCTGAGGCCACGCCACACAAGACAGGGACAGGGACTGTCCACCAGCCCGGTCTTGGCGGGTTATGATGTGAAATGACAGACCAGACAGACACTTCCTGTGGCCCCAGAGGCCACGCAGTTCTTCCATGATATAAACAGACACTTCCTTGATAGATTTCTAATGATTCTACAAATCTATGTTAAACTTTTCCAGTCATTTTTAAGGCACAGCTTTATAAAAAGTTGTCATAGCTAGTGAAGCAATATAGTACAATGTGAATTAAGATGTTTCAGTACTTTGCTTAAGCTGTTCAGCAGCCTAGAATAGTCTTTCTACTCTTTTTTGCTTATTAAGGACATTAGAGAATATGCTTAAAGAATATGCTGCTGAAATTCTACCTGTTCTGTAAAATCCTTTCTGACGTCCTAGAGTGGCCATGAACTCCTGTTAAAATCCTGCTAATTTACATACTATTAATTTACTTATGGTATTCGAGCGTTCATATATAGCTATATGACCTATTTTCTTTTGTGGCTTTGAATTATATTTATGCTTTCTAAGATTTGTTAATTTTCTACATGTTTGTATTTGGTATCCTCAATTAAATTTGGAGCCTCTGAGAGCAGAAACCTGCTCTTATATTTCTTTTCATTGCTCCCATGGCAATACAAATTCTAGTGCATAGAGATTTATTCAATAAATTAACTGATTCACTTATTTCAAAAATATATATTATAGCCTGGGCACAGAGGCTCATGCCTGTACTCCCAGCACTTCGGGAGGCCAAGGCAAGAGGATTGCCTGAGCCCAGAAGTTCAACATGGCAAGACCTTGTCTCTACAATAAATCAAAAAATTGGCCAGGCATGGTGGCCTGTGCATGTGGTTCCAGTTACTGGGGATGCTAAAACAGAAGGATTGCCTGATCCATAGGAGGGCAAGGCCGCGGTAACCATTATCATGATAGATAGATAGATAGACAGATAGGTAGACAGGTAGATATAGATATAAATACAGAGACATATATATGGCCAAAAAATGTATACTCATTTTAAGTATGACGTTCACACAAAAGATGGCATTAATCAAATGAATGCCAGAATCACCATGCAACAGGCAGGACAGTCAAAGAAAATGGTGGAAGCATGGTTGAGCTAATGTCATACCACACCTTGCTATCATAATTTAATTCAACTTCCAAAAATAATGCATAGATAACATCGCTTAAAATGTGTATACATAGGCCGGTGCAATGGCTCAAGCCTGTAATCCCAGTACCTTGGGAGGCCAAGGTGAGAGGATTGCCTGAGATCAGGGTTTCGAAACTAGCCTGGGCAACTTGGTGAGATCTCGTCTCTACCATAAATCAAAAAACAAGTCGGGCATAGTAGCGCACACTTGCAGTTTCAACTACTTGGAAGGCTGAGACAGAAGGATGGCCTGAGCCTCGCAGGTCGAGGCTGCAGTGGCGGTGAGCATGCCACTGTACTCCAGCCTGGGCGACAGAGTGAGACTCCAACGCGAAAAAAAAAACCAAACATGCGGTCACTTTTTGGCATTCCCTGAGTCCTCTGCCCTGCAAGGCCTTCACACACAGGCCTAGACATATCGTTAAGAAACTATCTGAGGAACCTGGGAGGAGATGGAAGCAAATGGAAGGAAGAGTCATTCATAATTTTTGACTTCAAGGTCAAACTGACTGAAGAGATAAGGCGGGTATGACTGCACGAAATATAACCGCAAAAGTTAAGCATGCCTCTAATGAAGCACAAACAAAATGTCAGGGGAAACCAAAGGATCAAGAAACCACCTTCTGCTGAGGGGACGTAGGATGCGGAACTCAGAGGTGGCATCTGAAGGTGGGCCACACGGAGGTGGTGTCTGAGAAAAGCCTTGCAGGGCAGAGGACTTCGGGTGGGGAGCACAGAAAGCCCAGCATGTGGAGGGAGGGAGGCAGGGAGCAATGGGAGCCTGGCAGTGGCCGGGCAGACAGAGGAGCAGGAAGAGGCTGCCCGTGTGAGGGTCTGAACTTTATTCTCCGGGCACTGAAAGCCCTTCAGACTTTCCAAGTTGGAAAGTCACAGTCAGATAGATCTGGGCTTAAGAAGATTAATCTGGCAACAATTTAGTCCTTAAATTGGAATGAAAGCACAAATAAATACTTACCTGGCTTACCCGTATTTAAATACCTCCGAAGTGTTGCTAACACCCTGTGGATTTTCGCTGCCATGTAGAAAACGTTGCTCGAATTCCCTACAACATCATGTATTATCATATGCATAATAGCCCCTGGCATGCATGTGGGCCTTAAAAAGCAAGAATTCTTTCAAATGGCCAGATGTCGGGGAACTGAACTCCAAGGTGTAACAGTTAACTCATCTGATGGAACTTCCAAATTGTGCCAAACTTTCAAGACGTGAAAGTATACAGAACTGTTCTAGTAAACCGCACGATGGTGCACCGACTCTGATTTCTCCCCCGAGAAGAAGACTGCCAGCGGGTGATAGTGAGCCAGCAGAGGCAAGGCTAAGGGAACATGCCCGGGTTCCTTCCTTACCTCATGACTCCGGGAACTTGCTGTGCTACTCTCTAGGAAACCACGAGGAAAACTGCTCCAGACTTGGCTCCTGAAGCCCCAATGGTAGGGGTACACTGCAGAGATTCTCAACGCTCTCACTGAACATTCAGATTCGAGACTCACCCCTGCCCTCACTGAGACTCTGATTCTGTAGGTTTAAGATGTGGCCTGATGGTCTTCATTTGAACAAGGCTCTCCCAGTAACTCCGATGCAGGTAAACTGATAGGTTGAGCACACATTTATCATCCGAGCTGAGACTCGTTTGAGTGTCAACAAGGGTGCAGTCAATGACTGCATGTGGACAGTGGCATAAGCCAGATCTGTCCTAGGTGAGACTGGACAGCAGCATAAGCTGGTCATTTGCCCCACTGAATGACCCTCTACAAAATACTGTCACTTCAGAGAGGAAGCTCAGTTAAAGAGAACCACCAAAGACGACCAGCAAGCAGGGGAATGCCCTTTGACAGGACAGGAAGAGAAAGGACAGCCGCAAATAGATGTCACAACTAGATACCTGGTTCACCTTGTGACCCCGGGAGGATTGAAAGCTAACCCAGAGGTACCTGCTTCAAACCTCATCTTCCAGTCCTTGCTGTTGAAATTGCCGTTTATGATTGTCCAGAAGATGTCAGCACCATGAGGAAGTGACAGAGCGTGGAGGAGGAGAGGAACTGCCAGCGAAGACAGCTGTGAGAACTCAGACTTCACGACTCTCCACAGGCTGGGATCAAAGGAGAAGCAAAGTGGTCACGGACATCACAGGCTTCCAGAAGAAAAGTTCTGTTCTCCTAACCTGCAGTACGTGTAGCCAACAGGTGCCAGTAGGGGTGCTTTTGGTGAAAGTACACGCGTCCACCAGGTGATAATCCTCTGACAAATGTTTCCTGTGCTCTGCCCCATTCATTTTTTAAAAATGCTTTTATGTGACACCATAGAGAAACATTTTCCACTCATTACATTCACTCAAAATTTTTAAGTTTCAAAATATAAATTCAGCTATATAAATTAACAATGACTTAAATAATGTACAAAGTTTATATTAGGTATATTAAGATAATGGGGTGATAGATGACTTTTAGTTTTTCTTACAGTGAACATCCCAGAAGTTCTGTTGACTTTGCCTGCCCTTATTATGGCAAAGAAGAACGCTCATCTACTAGTAACAGCCTCTCCAAGAACTGGCAGGATGTCAGTCAAGCTACCCCACCTTCCTGATCACAGGCGTGGACATAAGACATAGCTGACCAAAGAACTTCGGTACCCAGATGGAGCGACTAGCTAGTAGGCATATGACTCCAGCCTGGGAAGTCGGAGCCCTTTCTTCAAGGACTCATGTGGAGTCTCGGAGAGACAGGGTCTCTCTCCTTCTGAAATCTCAGAAGTGAAGGGTAGTGTCGGCCTGGGACTGTCAGTGACCCTCTTTCCTACCTCGCAGGGGCAGCCTGCACTTAACCAAGAAGCCAACACCATGTTCCACCTAAGAAGCCAAGACAGTACTGGGCTAAGAGGTGGGGAGGGAGGGAGAAAAAGCAGAGGGTTCCCTGATAAAATCTGGCCATTTAGCAAGTTTAAACTAGGTTCCTATCAAGTTCTACCAGGATAATTCTGAATATGAAGTATTTTAGTAATGATATATTACTGATTTTAATTTTTTTATTCAGCTGAAGTATGCCTTTTGTTTGGTTTTATCATTTTGTTTTGCTTTCTATTTGGCTCCAGAGTTAATATCACATCAAAACTATTTGTGACTTTCAAAACTCATAATGCGCCACCAAGAGGTGGGAAGAGGAGGGCTTAACATATCCACTCGAGAGCGGTGCTACTGACATACAAGTCACTAGAGTCGGTTGGTTCCCAGAAGACATACCAGAGCTGCAGAATGAAAAGGAGCAGTTTTCAAACACCATATGCTTAATCTGAGTAGTGTAAGTCAGAAAAATATGGATGAAACCCAACCCTGCCATCAATTAGCTGTGTAACCATGTGCAAATTTCTCAACTCCCCTGAATTTGCGTTTCCTCCAGAAGTGGGTTGCATTAAATGAGATGGTACAGAGTGCTTGGTACATAGTAGGGATTCAAAAACCTTGACCATAGCCGGGCATGGTAGTGCACGCCTGTAGTTTCAGCTACTTGGAAGGCTGAGGCGGAAGGATCGCCGGAGCCCAGCAGGTCGAGGCTGCGGTGGCTGGGAGCGGCCACTGCACTCCAGTCTGGGTGACTGAGAGAGACCCCAACTCAAAAAAAAAAACCAAAAAAAAACAACAACCAAAACCTTGACCTACTATTATTGTCGTGAAGATGAAAATGACAATGCTATCAGCATAACAGCAAGCCCTATGAAGACTGCAAAGAAAAAAGAAGGCATAATATGTGCCTTCGTGGAGTTTTCTTTTTAGTTGAAGGGGGCAAGCCACACGCAGCACTGCCAGGAAACCCTCTCCGTGACAAAAACCCTGGGCCTGTCCAGTATGGCTTTCCCAGTTCTCTAAGGCAGTCTTGTTTGAAAAGGGGAAGAATATCCGCACAGATCCCTTCTTTGTCCATCACGGCTTTTGAGTCAAGGTGGTACTTTAAGGAGAAAATTCGGTACTATAAGGAGAAAACCTGGTTATATACCCCAAAGTCTTAGCTGGTAGGCCCATGGCACTAGCAATACATTCAGCATGCATACATTTTGGGCGCAAGGTTGTTTTAACAACAACAACAACAAAAATGCCCACTTCGCATTCCCGTGCTGAATCGCCAGTGCATCTGCCGACGCCTGACTCTGCTCCTTCACTGCTTTTGTGCAGACTTTCTGCTTGTCTCCTCCTTCACACTGTTCCTTCCAGACCAGGCAGCCTCGTCTGCCTTCCACTGACTCCTTTCCCTCACTGCACCTGTAGAATCCGTGTTTTATTATGAAGAAACTTCTGTGGCTCCTCCACCTTTCCCACAGTATGCTTCTGTGGTGGGTCCGTGTTCCCCCAGTACTCATGTCCACCGGGAACCTCAAAATGTGATCTTGTTTGGAAACAGTCTTTGGAGATGTAACTAGCTAAGAGGAGTCCATACTGGAAGAAAGTGGCTGATTATAAACATAACGACTAATGCCCTTACAAGAGGAGGAGAGGACACACAGAGACACACGGGAAAGAGGGCCACGCGGCAGAGGCAGAAATCAGAAACCAAGGAGTGCCTGCAACCACCAGAGTCCAGAGATTCAAGGGAGTCTCCAGGGGGAGCCTGGCCCTGCTGACCCTGGATTTCTGGCTTCTAGCCTCCAGAACTGTGACAGAATAAGCTGACACCATCTGCGGCCGCTCAGGTTGCAGCAGTTTGTTACAGCAGCCTCGGAAACTGCAGCTGTCTCACTTGGCTGAGACTCGACACTGTCCAGATGACGGTTTCCCCCCAATGCTCTCAGTGGGTCCAGCTGCCTTATTGGGCCTCCCCTGCCGAACTCTCTCTTCAGAAACCTGTGGCATGGGCGAGTGGGCCCTCTGCCCGGTGCTTGGTGAATGGTACACCCGGCTGTCTGGCTCCTCACCCCAGCCTCTGCCGATGTCCCTGAGAATCAAGCCCCGGTCTCAGCAGCTTCCACTGCCTCATTCGTGTGCCTCTGTCCTTACTCCGGCGAACGAGCCCCGGCCTCCTCGCTCGAAGACGGAGAGCTCAGCTGCTCCTCGGCCTTGCCCGGGACTCCTCGGACCCCTTCGCTGTGTTCTTCTGCCAAATGTCCATGCTTCCAGCTTCCTCTGCCTCCCATCTTCCCCCGGATCTCAGAGCCAACTGCTTCGTCACTCTGACTCTCCTCATCCCTCTAGCCTTCCACCACAACCAAATTACTCATCCCCAGTCCCAAATAAACCCATCCGCCCCCAGGCCCGAGCACTGGGAAAAAAAGAAACCCAGACTCCTACTAAGTTGGTCCACTGCAAGCTGGTGCTGGCTAACTCCAGCTGGGCACGGGAGCTGGCCATTCTGTGGTAACGTCTCGTTAACTCCCTACTGCTTTCCTCACACTCCTTCTCATGTTCCGGAAGCTCCCAGCCTACTCTCTAGCATTCCCTACTCTGAACCCCCCGAACACTTTCTCTTTTCCTCAAAATGTATCTCTTTCGAAGGAAAGAGCGGTCCCGCTCCCCCGACTCCTTGTTCCACATTGCACATTCTCTTGCCCGCCAGAACCTGACTCCACTAACTCTTCCCTTTCTCTGGCTCCTTCCCATGGGCTACAAATATGTTCACGTTTTTGTTACCCCGAAAACCCTTGATGCCCAGCTCCTTTCCCCTCTAGGTAACTTTCTGGAAGGAAGTCCTGGTGCATCTTTGCTGTTCTCTAAGCCCCCGCAGCACGCTCCTTGCACGCCCCCACATGAGGACGGTTGACACGCGTCTTTCTTTTCTTCAGACTCATTCTACCACCGCACAGTTCTGCCTCTGTCTTAAGACCTTCCTCGGATTTCCGAACTTCATTAAATAAAGTCGCTGTCTTCAGAGCCCTTGGCACTTGGGCCTGGGCCTGCTTCTCCAGCCTCATGTCCCATCGCCCCCCGAAAGTACATCTTCCAGCAAAATAGGAAGTCTCGGCGCCGCCTAAGTATGCGCTGCCCGTTTCCCACCCCTTCCTTCCAGCTCTGCCATCTGCTTGCTCGTGACAGTCCCACGCCCCACAACATGCCCTCCTGATCTCAGCCCTCCACCTATCCAAAGTCTCCCCTTGTTCCACCGCCCATCCAGATGGGGGCTGCTCCTGAGCCTTGCGTCATCCAGAAATGCCTCCTCTCCCCTCTGAACTGTCCAAGGCATGGATCACACTCCCTTGGACTGACGGGACAGTAGCACGAGTCTTAGTTCGTCCAGGACTGTCCAGGAGTTGTACTCGTTGTTGTGGGCTATTTTGAAGACCACCCCTCTTCACTCTCAAACACAGACCAATTTGAACGATAAATTATGCAGCCACCTTCTCTCTATTTAGTGTTCACCCCTTCCAAACCAGGCTGCCAATCCCCTAAGCACCTGGAACAATAATGTGTACGTAAGCCCTCATAAAATTTGTTGCCTCAGTGAATAAACAAGTAAACAACATGAATAAAGACAGACAGAACCTCAGTTTGGTTTTTACCCCAAGTTCACCTGAATCAATCTTTTCTTTATATATCAACTCACGCTCTTACGTACAAAATAAGGACGATATTTTCTGATTTACCTCCAGGAAGACCGCAAGAGTTGTTTCAAAGTCTTCAGGAAGAAACACGTTAGGGTAAAGCCCTTTGTGCTTGGGTCCAAACCTACTTCTCCAGCCTCATTTCCTGTTACTGCCTTCAAGCCACACCTTCCGGCAAAGTAGAAAAGGAGGCTGCAGAAGTATGAAGGCCCAGGAAGAAAATCTTGGGTCATGCTGTCCTGCTACTCTCAAAATGCCTTGGCCGTCTCCAAAAATATAATGATTAGGTAATATGTGAAGATATTTAAGACATCTACTAGCAGTTCTATTTTAAGAAAGAAAATGGGCTAGTCTTTACTTATTTGCACTAGACAAATATTAACTTATTGTCTGTTGGCACTTTTCTTTATTTTCTATATTCTTAAACCATCCAACAAGTGTGAAGCATGAAATAATTTCTACTTTACCTTCTTCATTTCTACAATGTCTGACACATGAAGATTGCTATTCCTTGTATTCACATACTGAAAAAAATTAGACTAAATGAGAAATGAAGGTAGTTCCTATAGGCAATCAGGCTGTCCTAAGAAAAATAACCTAGCTGGGGTCGGTGGCTCAGCCTGTAATCCCGGGCTTTGGGAGGCTGAGGTGAGTGGATTGCCTGAGCCCGCGGGTTCGAGACCTGCCTGGGCAACTTGGCGAGACCTCATCTCTACAATAGATCAACAATTAGCCGGGCATGGTAGCGCGCACCTGTAGTTCCAGCTACTTGGAAGGCTGAGGCGGAAGGATCGCCGGAGCCCAGCAGGAGAGGCTGCAGTGGCCGGGAGTGGCCACTGCACTCTAGTCTGGGTGACAGAGTGAGACTCCAACTCAAAAAAAAAAAAAGAAAAAGAACCTAAATGACCTAGTAAATCTTTTTCTAACTTTTATTTTCACAACTAAAGCCTAAAAATACAAACAAAACAAACCATTAGGTAGACATACCTTGCAATCAACATATGATCCTGAATGTAGGCTAAAAACTGAGGATGATCTTTTCTAGCGATGTATAAACACTCTCCATGCAGACAGAGAATCTTCAGGCAATTGAGCATATTAAAAAGAATGTCTGGCTCTTCAAACTTAGCCATTTCCTATGCAAAAAATCACATGGTTACTGAGTTATTCAAGACAGTAATGCTATCAAATCAAATAGTCAAAGATTTTGAAAATATACCTGGAAAATGGTATATATTAGTCTCAATGTTACTGGAAGCTGCTGGTAGCAGAATTTTCTTTCAGTATCATTCTTTATTGCTGTGAAGAAATAATCACACAAGGTTAGGCTAACTCTTCTCTTCCCCCATCATCAATGGATCAAGATCACAAAGCCCAGGAGGTTAAAAAATAGATACAGAATGTATTTAACAGTGTTTGTGTACTGTTTTTGTTTGCCCTCATAATGAGCATATATCTATCCTTTTTGTGATGGCAGTGCTGCAAATCTTCAATGAAGGATTTTGCCCTGTGTGGTCCATTCTGTATCCAAAATCTTTGGCTTCCTAGAGATTCCCCAGCCCACCCCTGTGCTCTCCTGGGCTGCCAGTTCTACTGCTCCCTTCAGGGTTGCCTTCCTAATTGAAAGAGAGGTGGTCACATTGTGTTAGCTTCTAAGAAGGGGTGTATCCCATGGACTCTTGCAAATGGTGGGTGTTTTAAGGAAGTTGAGCATATTCAGATGCGAAAAATACTCATGGCTTCATCTTCTTGGGAGCATCTATAAAGCCTCTGCCCTCATAATAGGACTGCAGTATTTTATGTATGGGCATGCTAAAGAAAATAATTCACATGTTAACCAGATCAGAAACCAGTGTAAAATGTGTCAAAATCCCCATTATACATTTTGGCAATTCCAAAGATTAGGGACCATAGCAGTCAAACCCTCCAGGTCTATAGACTAAACGACTCACCAGGAATCTTCCACTCAAATATGTTTGAAGTACCTGTTATTATTGGGAGTGGACTTTGCTTTTTTATTTTTTTTGAGTTGGAGTCTCACTCTGTCGCCCAGACTGGAGTGCAGTGGCCGCTCCCGGCCACCGCAGCCTCGACCTGCTCCGGGGATCCTTCCGTCTCAGCCTTCCGAGTAGCCAGAATTACAGGTGCGCACTACCACGCCCGGCTGATTTTTTGATTTATTGTAGAGATAAGCTCTCGCTGCCCAGGTGGGTCTCGAACCCACGGGCTCAGGCAATCCACTCATCTCAGTCTCCCAAAGGCGCGGGATTACAGGCTGAGCCACCGAGCCCGGCTTGCTTTTTTTTTACAGCAAGGTCTCCCTCTGTTACCCAGGCTGGAGTATAGTGGTGCAACTGCTATAAGAAACAGGGATCCAGGCCTCAAAATGCGGAAAAAGGAAATACTCTAGAAGAAAGGGAAATCCTTGAACCGGTGTCAGCGGAGCACCTTAATCCTAGGACGAAGGCACCGCTGGTCACTGCCTGAAGGCCCTCAGAGCAGACGCAAGGTCAAGACTCTGAGCATCAGGGAACCCTAGTCCTGGAAGAAAAAGGAGAGGGGCTCCCCTGAGGGAAAAGTGACGACCACACCACGCAAGGAGAGGAGAGCCAGAACAGGAAAACAGGCTGAAGCCAGCCAGGGGCTGATGGAGTATTGAGGGGGGGAAGAATAGAAGAAATGTTCAGATAAGTGGAGTCTGTAACAATTCAGCAAGGAAAAGAGTGATGTGTGAGAGGAAATTGCTTAACTTTAGCCATTTTTCAAATAAAATTTGACATATAAATGAAAGTGGCAGTTAATTAATTTGTGTGCTACCTTAGGTTTAAAAACTGCATTTGCATAGAAAGGATACAGGTTATTGGATGGTAAGTGAAGTCCTAGAGTCCCTGAAGCTTAGAGGCCTGACAGAAACACAGCTGTTTAGCTGCTACAGCACCCAAAACAAGGCAATTAATTCTAAGGAAAACAGAAGACCTGGGATCTAGTCCCAACCCTGTCCCTAACTAGTTGTGCAATATTTGGACTTCCGGTTCCCAGAACCCCACCCCAGGGATACCCGGACTCGAGGGTGGGGAATGGAGTTCATTTATTTTGTGTCTCAGCTTCTCAGATGACTTTGATGTCTGTTAAAGCTCTGGAATTGTGAATACAAAGCATAAAGTGGGAATGAGCAGCTCAAGCTACACGGCCAAGAGCAAGTCATTTAACCCGGCCTGGATTTATTTTTCTCATCTGCAAAGTGACAGGGCCGAACTGGATTTGCAGGTTTCAAACTCCTTTTCTGCAGAATACCTTCTTTATAGAAAATCTTAGTTAGAACTCCAACATGTGAACTAGAGAAACCCCGCTCTGGTCTGAGTAAGGCATCCCATGAAACAGTCCCCTAATAATGTCTGCTGCGCACCAAAGGGATCATGTCAAGCCCGTTTCGCACTCTGGAGCAGCTTCCTCGCGGCCACCTACTCTAACAGTCTGGGTCATGGAAGCAGGAAGGCAACGCAGATCTTGCACCAATCTCAAGAGTGCCACCCTCCGGATAAGGCTTCCCCAGAGGCCCCCAGGGTCACATCCTGAATTCCCTAAAGGGCCTCGGAGTGTGAGGAACTAGAGAATGATTCTGGAGCCTGCCTGCCATCTTGCTGTCCTCCAGTGCCCACTCAGAGCCCCTTAAGCAAATTAGAATGAGGTCTTCCTCCCTCCCAGCCGGAAGCCGTGCAAACCAGCCTCTGAGGACAACCTGCACAGCCACCACGGTGTGCCTGTTCTGGGGCCTGGCCAAGCCCCCGGGAAGCAGAAGCATCAGAGGGCAAGTCTGTTGCTTCCATCTGAAAACTCCCGCTTTGGCCAAACGCCTAGGGGCCACCCAGCCTCGATCCACGAGAACACCATGCATTTTAAGTAGGAAGGTGACGAGGTTTCGCCGATGACAAGCAGCCGCTGCCAGAAAGATGTTCAGCAAACTGTTGTTCTATGGGAACCACGATGGATCTGTTCACTTCATCCCCTCTGGTGGGAAATGGTTCCCCCACACGCGTCTATACTAAGGAAGCCACTCCTGAATTTGCCCAAGTTACAACTAACCCAAGAAAACCATGGATACAAGCATCAGGCCCTGTGCACACAGCCCACTCCCAGGTGGTCAGAGTGCACCTACCAGTTGGTTCCACGGGCTCAGGGCGATTGCCTGGGTTCTCCCCATGCTTGGTGGCAGGATTCTCCTCCTCCTCTCCTTCAGGGCCTATAATAAACTCTGGTCTGGAAGAAAGGAGGCTATCCTCAAGGCTGTCTGTGGACTCCTAAAAAAAACAGGACAAGCAGGCAGATGAGCAGCCCTGGAGGGGTGTAAGGAACAGTTTGGCTCAGCTCAGCAAAGCTGGACTGTACAGCCTGTGGCTGAAAAATTGTTTTCACTTGAAATGAACATGGCACAATATCAAAAACATTGTCAATTCATCCAAGGAGTACTTTCTCACCTTTGTGTTAATCCCTGAGATCAGTGTCTCACTCACCAAGTCACTCTCAGTCATGCATGTTTTGTTCAATAACAGTTTAATTAGGAGGAAATAGTAAAGTGTTCCCGGAGATAGACTAAGAGGCAAAATACTGGTTGTCTAGGAATGTCAAATTTTCAGGAGCAAGAAATTGCTGTAACGGGTGAGTTAAAGAGAGCAAGGTATGGCGACCCAAGTGTCTATCAATATATATGGAGAAATGATCAAAAATACATATTTTATGATATTTTTTGTTATCTAACTTTATAATATAACCTTGTGATAAAAGTTCTTTCAGGAATACCAGGAATGCTTTGTATCTGTGAAACTATGTGAATGCAGGAGCCAAAACCCTGACTCGAGGCCCATCATATAGTTCAGCAGTGTGGCTCCATCCATAACCCTCTCCGGGAGCTTGGGTTGGCAGAAACAACGGGAACATTTTCTTTTCTTTTTTTCTGAGCAGGAGTCTCACTCTGTCGCCCAGGCTGGAATGCAGTGGCACGCTCACGGCCACCCCAGTGTTGACCTACTGGGCTCTGGCAATCTGTCTGCCTCAGCCTTCCAAGTAACTGGAACTACAGGCATGCGCTACCACGCCCGGGTAATTTTTTTGATTTCTTGTAGAGTCAAGGTCTCGCCAAGTTGCCTGGGCTGGTCTGAAACCCACGGGCAAAGGCAATCCACTCACCTCGGCCACCCAGAGTGCTGGATGACAGGTTGAGCCACCGAGCCAGGCCGGGAACGCTTTCTTTAAGCACAGCCTCACGCGTAGCCCGGCGTGGCACATAAGACAATACTGGAGGAAGACCCCCGGCACCAGCTACTGGCCTTCATTCCTGCTGCACCTGGGACACCTCGCTGCTTCCCCTGCTTACCACCAGATGGCTCTCTTCCTTGGGAGCCAGCCTCTCCAGGAGTTCACAAGCAAGCTGATAGCAGAGAATACTGGATTGACATAAGTTACACTCGGTTGCTTTTTCCGTCTTCTGGCAGGTGTGAGAGCCTCCCCAGGGGGCTTGGAAGACATTATTTATAATAGAAATAATGTCCTTTGACAAGTTGTGCTCTAAACCCATCGTGATTCCATCATCTTGTAACTCCATCTGAAAGACACCAAAAAAAAAAAAAAAGACAAAAAAAAAAAAAGAAGAAGGAGGAGGAGTTTGGTCCTTTGGTCCAATATTCCATTGGCACACTACTTGGGGATAATTTTCACTAACTGACAGCAGTATTAAATACTTTAAAGACAATAGTGGCTTCAAGACCTTGAATATACATTGTTTGCAACCGATTCTTCTAAAAAAGAATATAAACACAAAACAAAGCAATGAGAATTATTTTTTAAATCATGCAGGACATTTAAAAGAGAGTTGTTTTTTAAACTCATCACTTGATAAGATTTTACACACTTTAAAAATGCTACTCCTGCCAGGCACAGTGGCTCATGCCAGTAATTCCAGCACTTTGGGAGGCGAAGGCAAGAGGATTGCCTGAGCCCAGGGGTTTGAGACCAGCCTGGGTAACTTGGCAAAACATCATCTTTAAACAAAGCAAGAAAAACTAGCCAGGCGTGGTGGCGTACGCCTGTAGTTCCAGCTACTTGGAAGGCTGAGGTGGAATAATTACCTGAGCCCAGCAGGTCAAGGCTGCGGTGGCTGTGAGAGTGCCACTGCACTCCAGCTTGGGCAACAGAGTGCAACTATAATAAAAATAAAAATAAAAATGCCTAGATCCTCACCTAGTGTCTGGATATTGGTATCTAAATACCATTATCTGCTAAAATAAACCAGAGCTCCTTTTAGAAATGTCTGATTCCAGGGATAGGGCTAAGAAAATATAAGATGAGCCTGGAATATCTTATGCCAGAAATTAAGGAAGTCCTCAAAAGATGATGTGGACATGTCAAAAGAACAAAGGAGCCAGCTTGAAGGGACTCCCATTGGTCAAATATGGAACCATTTGTGCATCAAAATAATCCAAGTAACAGATTATAGTCCATGGAATAAAGTAAAACCTCATGGGTGCATGCAGAGATAAGTAGGTAAATAAATAAAAACATAAATGGGAGAGAAGGGAAAACTGCTCAATCAGTAGAGTACCAGCTAATAAATTTACAAGAAATGACAGAATTAGAAAATTATCATTTGGTAATATCATGGTAATAATTGATTCAGGCATGACTCATCCATCTAATGCAAATACTAATAAATAAAATAAACAGGAAATCTCATAGTCTTAAAGTATTACCCCACAAATTACTTATTAAATACAAAAGGAAAAATTGTGACTTTATAGTAGAGAAACCTGGCAGAAATCAACTTAACCAAGTGGCCAAATTTGCCATCTCCAGTAATAGGACATTATTGTATTCTGTGGCTCCTGATATGATGCACTATAAACATTAACATTATATCTGCAGTCTTCCTGCCAAAATGCATGAGCCAAACTAATTCATAAGGGAATGTCAGACAAACTCAAACTCAGGGACATTCTACAAAATAATTGGGCTATACTCTTCAAAAACATCAATGGCCTAAAAGATAAGCAAAGACTGAGGAACTGTCCTAAATTAAAGCAGACAAAGGAGACAGTCCATATAATTGCACTGAGTGCTCCAAGACGTTTTCTGGGTCAAAAGCAGCTTTTTTCCTTCTTGCTATAAAGGTAATATTATTATTATACAAACTTAAAAAGGAATAATTTCTATAAGTTAGAAAACAGCATTATAGCAATATTAGTATCCTAATTTTGATAACTGTACTGTGATTATGTAAGAGAATGTCCTTATTTCTTAGAAAATACACTCTGTAGTACTTAAGCACAAAAAGATATCATGTTTGCAACTTTTTCTCAAATTATTCGTTAAAAAATTCATGCATACACATACAGAGAAAGAGAGAGAGAGAGAGGGAGAGAGAGAGAGAGAGAAAGTGCATGTGTTAAATGTTCTCATCTAGAGAACTAGGGGGAGAAGTATTCGGAAGATCTTTGTACTACTCTTGCAAATTTTCTACAAACTTGAAATTATCTTAAAATAAGATGTTAAGAAATAGTCTCAGCCGGGCTCGGTGGCTCAGCCTACAATCCCGCACCTTTAGGAGGCTGAGGTGAGTGGATTGCCTGAGCCTGCGGG